CTGCTCCTTGGGGCAGGCCAATGTCCCTGCAGGACAGCAGGCACCAAGCCCCCCGGCAAGCAGAGGAAGAGGCACAGCTGCGCAGTCCCTGAAGCCCAGGCTGGAGTCCCACACTTTAGTTGTGTGACCACAGGCAACATCCTGTTACTCGCAGGACCTCACGGGTGTCACCTGAAGCCAGAGCAATCAACCTTTCTGACCAGTCATTGGGAGACGGAAGTAAAACCATGATGACGGCGGCTCTGGCACGGAGCCTGCCTGGCTGACAACGATAGCCTCAAAAACAAAAAAATGACTAAGCACAGAGCCTCCCAATTCTTGTTGTTTTTTTTCCCCCTTTGGAAATCCACATCCTTCCTGGAGCTACAGTTTGGGCTGCTCCAAGTGAGAGAAGCATATAGGGGGAAGTTCCACCTCAGATTAGGGGTATCTGTGAAATCCTCTTTCAAGTCTGCTGGTAATGCGTTCTCAGGCACAAGCACAGAGCTGCCTTCTGCAGGCAGACGGGTGGGAGGCCTCTCTGGAAGCACCCCCGTCCTATCCCTTGTCTCCCTGGGAGATGACAGGAGGCTCGGGAGACATTTAATTATCCTCTCTGGGGGAAGGGAAGAGGGCTGGGTCCCTTCACAGGGAGACAGGAGGGAAGGACCTCCTGCCTGTCAAGCCTTCCCATGCTGACCTGTCCTCTGGTCACAACTCCCTGTTAGGGCAATGCACCCTGGGGACGTTGATAGTGCCCTACCTGCCTCCCGCCAGTTTCACCAGGGAGTGTATGTGAAGTAATTCCAGGTCTTGCCATTTTCACAGATTTTTCCCCCAATTTCCCTTATTTTATGTGGTCCCCTCAGACCCCTTCTACAGTTGCCAAGATGCATCCTGAACTCCCCATGGCCTGAGCATCCAACCCAAGGATGCTTTTCTTCTTCTCTTAAAAAACACCACCATCAAGACCAACACATGGTTTGCAAAGTGATGCCTTCCAGAGAAACCAGGCGATGACATCCTTTGCCTTATTAGGAAGTTCAGGTCAGACCTTAAGAGGGGCCCATCCAGGGCCGAGTGCTGACGGCAGCCGAGAGAGGTACATAATCCTGCTTCGGACAAGCGTGTCAGCTGGAGCTCGGGGTTCACCTACTACCTCTGCCACCAATGAGTGGCATAGCCACCAGCCTACTGCTTCTGCCTCTGGGCCTCAATTTCCCCACATGTAAAACTGAGTGTCACTAGCTCAATGCATGCAGTTATTTTGAGGCTAAAATGAAACTGAGAAATTGTGTACCACCTGTCCTTTCAAGCAGAAGTCAGGAATCTATTTGTCTTTGTTCACACACACACACACACACACACACACACACACACACACAAACACACACACACACAGACTTGCACTCACAATTCTGTCTCCGAAATGGCATGCATCGTGTGCTCCCAACTTTATGAGAAGTAGAACGAGGCAGACCCCTCATGCAAGCTGTGGCATGAAGGCCTTTAATGATGCCCCCCTCACTCAACCATACATGACTCAGAGCCACAGCATTCCCATCTGTACAATGGGGAGTGGACTCACTGACGCTTTACTCTCCTTTGAACTTGGACATTCTGCAACTCCGAGAAACCTATCTTTCTGTCTCTCAGTAGCTATTAGTGGGTTACAAGAAATGCGTGGGAGTCACCCAAGCCAGAGAAGAGCACATGAGGCAATGGTCCCAGGCCAGGGGAACTGTGACAAGACTGTGGGTGATAGGCCAGACAGGAAGGAAAGAGGCCAGTGGCGAAACCTGGAGCTGATAACTCACTGTAGAAACTGGGAGTTGAGGAAAGAAGAAAGGTAGCAGTGAGCCTTGGGACATTATAAGAGGACAGAAAGGGAGGTCCCTGTCCTGCAACCTCTATAACTTCCCTGTGGCTTAAGAGGGGGTCTCTCCCTCTCTGAGGCAGGTCCCACACTCCTGTGTCTTTCTTACAGTGTTTCCGGCACTTGGGACGGGCTTTCTACTTCCTCTCCCAGGAGAGCGCCTACTTGTCTTCAAGGCCTAACTTAGTCACTATTCTCTATAGCCCAGGGGTGGTAAACTCTTTCTGTAAAGGGCCCAATAGTAAATAATTTAGGTTCTGAGGGCCATATGAGCTCTGCCATGGCCACTCAACTCTGTCCTTACAGCTGGAGAGTAGCCTCGACAATCCCGGAACAAATAAGCATGACTCTATTCCAACAAGACTTAATCTGTGGACACTGAAATTTGAAGTGTATGTACTTTTCACATGTCAAAAAATGTTATTCTCCTTTGATTTTTTTCAGTCACTTAAGCATAAAAACCATTCTTAACTCATGGACTGTACAAAAACAGTAGGTGACCCGTAGGCCAGAGGTGCCGACTTCCCCTCAGGCCTCTTGCTGTTCAAAGTGGGATCCAGGCACCAGCAGCATCAGCCTCGCCTGAGAGCTTGCTGGAAATGCAGGTTTCAGGGGCCCACCCAGGTCTACAGAGTCAAAGTCTGCATTTTAACAATCCCTCCGGATGGCTCATGTGCACTTTAAAATCTGACAAAGTACTGATGCCTGGATATCATCCCAAGAGTCTAATTTTAATAGGGTACAACCTGAATTTTGGGACTTGTCAAAGTTCCCCAGGTAGTTCTAATGTACAGCAAACTTCAAGAGTCTGTGCCCCAGAAAAATTCCCCAGGGAGAGAAGGCTGCTCCTCTTCCTGGCTCCCAAAGTCCCCAGGTCACGCGCCCATGACATAGCATGTCACTGGATAAGGATTATTTGTCACACTCTGAGCTCCTCTGGGATCAAGACCCTGTCTCATCCTAACTTATGAAGATCTCAGACAAACCACTTGCCCCTCTGGGACTCAGTCTCCTCTCCCTTGCGATGAATGGTTTGGTAGTTGGACCTCCCCTGCTGTCCCAGGTGAAGACAGAGAAGACAGCCTCCGGACCCAGGGTCATCCTGGCCTCTCCCTCTATTCCCTGAGTCTCTCCTGCTTCTGAGAAGCCCTCAGACCAACACAGGCTCCGGGGTTTCCCAGACTCTGGAGGCAAGGGAGACGAAGAGAGGTAACCCACATATCTGGCAGCCCCAATGAGCCTGGAGATGCAGACCTCACTTCCATGACCGCCCCTGCCTTCCCGACTAGAGGCATGCAGTCCCACTTGCCCTCCCACTGAGTCCCCACTGCCCCGGCCCCCACCTCCTCACTCCTCTGCTTCGATGGTGCCCAGGACCCAGCATTTTCCCGGAGAAATATGTGAGGGGTGAGTGCACGACAGTGACTGGGGGCAAAGTGAAGGAGTCTTGCCTGGGAGGGTCCTCAGGGTTCTGCCCCAGAGAGGGCTGCAGGGACACCGGACTGGGGCTGACCTGCCTGCACTACCTGTCTATCCGCCCACCAGCCAGCTCCCTCTCTCTCTGCCCTCAAGTCACTTGCAGCTCTGGAGCCGAGCCCTGCACCCCACAGAGGAGACCCTGACTCTCCCCCAAGACCTCCCCCTCCGAGGCCCCTACAACACGGCAGCCC